GACCCCTGAGATCTTTTCTCCTACCACTTCCCCCAGCTCACTGGACTCCAATCATGCTGACCTTCATGTAGTTCCAGGATCATGTCAAGACCATTGCCATCTCAGGGCTTTTGCATTTACAATCCCCTCCACCTAGAATGCTTGTCTCCCCAACCCCCCACCCCCCACCCAGCCAAATTTACTATGGCTGACTCTTATCCTTCAGATCTCAGCTCAAAAGTCTCTTTGTCAAAGAGGCCTTTTCAGACCCCGCCTAGGACAAGTCACCATCTAGCATACTTCCCTGATTTACTGTACTTCATAGTACCTATCGGTAATTATACTTTGGTTAACTTGATCCTTGTTTGTTTCTCCCACTTAACATATGTTCTAAGAGAACTGGGACTCTCACCACAGCATCCTTGATGTATGTGCTCAAAGACTGGTTGATATGTGTACACCATGTTTACATATGTGTATATGCACTATCAGTAAGTTCTCTGAGGGTAGGTATCATATCTTCTTCATCTTTTTGCCTTGTATATAGGAGGCACTTAACAAATCTGTGGAAGGAGTAAACTAATGCACATCTTGTTTTTTTCAAAATAAAATTAAGACAGGCAATTTTTTTTTGTCTGATTAAAAAATATCCTTCCTCCCCCAATCATTTACAACAAAATATCCTATCAAAAAAATCAGTGTTTCTCAGGATTTTTGTGCTGTTCTATTTTCATTGAGGTGAAAAGGCAGAGGAGATTTCACAAAGCATTCTTTGATTTGTCTCCCACTTAATGCTTTTCATTCTCCTGAAAAAGACATACTGAAAACATTCCATTCTTTCAATACAGACATCCTGAAGGCATTCAAATGTCACTCAAAATTTTTTTTCAAAAGCCACAGAAACCACTATTCCTTGGATTTTTTTTTCTTTTATGAGTCAAGGAACATTGTTTACAGCTTGCCCTGAGGCTTCTGTTAATGTTTGTTAGAATGGGGTGTTCAAGTAGAGTTGCTCTGTTCTTTTATAATGGCAGACTGCTGCAGATTAATTTTCCTCAACTCATATATTTTCAGTGACATAGAATGTTATAAATGGATTCCATTAAACAGGAAGGAAAGTCAAAAGTGTTTTCTCGAACCTTCTCCTCCCCCCATTCTTTTAAATTCTTATCTAAAATTTAAGTGAATATTATTTTAATGTTCTAATTCCTTTTAGTTACTGAGATAACTTCTTAAGAAATTAAACTTTTTCTCAGTTTCAAGCATAATGTATACTTGATCGGCCCTCAACAATATGAACCTTTTCTATAGAAGGTGAAATATTGTAATTATTTGTCTTTCCACTAGCAGTAGCAATACTTATTAATTAGCAGCCTTCTCCAGTCTTCCCCATCTCTCTCTTCCTTTTTCTTAGTCTTTACTACACAACTCCCTCATTCAAAGTAAATGATCAAATAAATGTGTTTAAGTCTTTAAAAAGGAGGTTGTTGATCTGTTTTCTAAAACAAAAAAATGATCCCCTCTTATTACAGAGATGTTTTGACTTTTTTTCAGAAACTCCATGGATTATGAATAGTTTACTATGTAAACTATGTAAAAGTTACTGATAAAATAAGAGAAATATAAGCTCTTTTTCCATAACATAAAAATCCCACCACACAAAAAAGAATTTCTATTAAAATTCCTATTTTTCTGTTTTTCATATCTAAAATTGAATGGAAGTCATCATTAAAGATATTCAGTAATCAAAATGATCCACAATATAATGTTGGTAGTGTATGTAAAAATGACCATAAAAGTAAAATGAAATATAATGTTATAGTAGGATAACTACAATGGCATCCTTAGCTACTGTTGGAAAACCTAAGTTTAGGGAGGGTGCATCCTTAAAGATAAATATAAATTATTAAAGGCAGTTTTTATAAATTTTAATAAATTTTTAGCTTTATTTTACAACAGTGCTTTGAAAATGGACTAGTAATTGATAATCACATCAATTCTTTTGTCTCAATATTAATGGTTTATATAGAAACGGATATAAAGAAAAGTTTCTCAGAAGGATGGAATTGTTCATTGTTCTGGCGGATATGTAAAAACAATGCTGACTCAAAAGCAGCCAAGTGGACAGCTGCAGATGCTGTACCCAATGGAAATACTAAGCAGGCATAGCACAAATCAATAATTAACAAAGCAGATGTACAAAGCTTGATGAGGATGAATAATTGCATAGGCAGGAATGGTAAAAGGAGCTGATAACAGTACTAGTTTTGTAAGAAATTAGATAAACTCTTTGTATTCACAAATTTGTTAGCAAGAGTACTTCAATGCCTAATAGTACACAAAGAATATCTTTTCAAAATGCTTTGATTAAATTGATATGCACCTTTAATAACACTTATCACTAAGGATTATTTAGAAATCAGAATTATCCACAAAGAAATATTGGTAGGGTGACCATAAACATAATTTTAAAAGCAAATAATGAAATAATGTTCTAGGTGCATCTAACTACAGGGGCATCAAATTGTTTATTTTTGGAATTCTTAAGTTTAATGAAATGTCGAAGAGGGAGGTATATCTTTAGGGCACATCCTTTTCTAACTTTGGTGTGTGTGTATGTGTGTATAAACCCTTTCCTAACTAGTCAATAAGTTTCTTGGGGATGAATATCATGTTTTATAATGTACTCTAAAAGCACTAAGCCCAGTGCCTTATATGTAAATAAATACATTTTGATTTCTTCAGAATATAATTAAAATGGACAATATGATTAAGTATGCTTTAGTATAAGCATTCCGAGTAAATTCTTTACATAAATGCTCAATATATGACTTGGAAACATCTTTTAGGAGTCTTTTTTTTTTTTTTTGAGAAATAATTCTTAAATTGCAGTGACTTTAAAAACTAGAAATTTGCAGTGGTAATAGATGCATTTTTATAGCAAACTTGGAAAGCAAATTTCAGAGTTTTAGTTACGTAAGGAAGATAGGTATGTAAGGTTCATTTATAGCCTTCTATTTTCCTTAGGACATATGTTGCAGGAATAACTGCCCTCATGAATGCAAGGATTCATTGCTCAAAACTCTATCAAGTGCTCTAACCTGAAGATTCCTTCTTTACATGGGCATTTTATATCATTCTATTTTCTTTGAGTTATCATTGAAAATGCATACTTTCTACTGTCTACTTATTCATTAATTTACAAATGTTTATTGAGTACCTACTGTGTGCCAGGCTCTATTCTAGATGTTGGGAATATAGCAGTGAACAAGCAAAAATCACTTCACTTATGGAGATTTTATTCTAAGGATGGAGACAAATCAGTAAAATATTTGATAAATTAGTGTTCAGTACTAAGGGGGAAAAAATGAAACAGAGAAGTAGGGTAGGAAATCTGAGAAAGAAGTAGAATTTTAAATTGAGTGGCCAGGAAAGGCCTGAGAAGTGACATTTGGATTAAATCCTGAAAGAGGTGAAGGAGCTAGTCCTTTGGCTCTCTGGGGGGAAGAGCATTCCAGGCAGGGGGAATCCCAACTTACAAAGGCCTTGAAGTGAACCAGTGCTTGGCATAGTTGAGAAGTATCAAGGAGGCCAATGTGTCTGGAAGAGACCAAGGCAGAGAGTGGGGGTAAATGAGATCAAAGGGATGACAGGAGGCTAGGTCATAAAGGACCTCATAGGTAAGAATGGAAGCCATTGAAGTGTTCTGCACAGAAGAGTGACATCTGACTTTTTAACAGGATCACACTGGCGACTGAATTTTGAGAATAAAGTGAAGAGGGCAAGGGTGGAAATATGGAGATCATTTAGGCTATAGCTATAAGCCAACAAGAGATGGTGGCTTGAAACAGGATGGTGGCAGTGGTGATAGTGAGAAGTGGCTGGATTCTGGATATATTTTGAAGATAGTATTGACAGGATTTTCAGACAGAATACGATGTAAGGTTTTCTACTATTTGTGATAGTTAAATTTCCACTCTTCCCTCCTAACTGATCAAAAAGTTACAAATTCTCACACATTTTCTGTCATTCCTAGATTATGATGTTAACATAACTTTTGTTCCTGAGTTTTTAAAACATATTTCAATGATTTCTGTGTCCTGTCTCAATCTTGAGGAAGGGTAAAGAGAAAATGTGGCTCAGAAATTTGACAATGACAACACTATCTTATGAGCTCATCCTAAACTGTAAGCTTGGGGAGACTTAGTTCTTACCTTATTTCCTCCAGGCCGGTCTCAGAACCTTGCACACATCAGGCTCTCAAAAAATGTTGAATGTCTCTACATTTTCCACGGAATAACAAGCTGAAGACAACATCCAGTGGTATCCATTGCACAATCATAAATTAAAATGTGTATTTTAAGGGCGCCTGCGTGGCTCAGTCGGTCAAGCGCTTGCCTTCCGCTCAGGTCATGATCCCAGACTGCTGGGATCAAGCCTGCGTGGGGCTCCCTCTCATTCTCCCTCTGTGCTCTCTCTCTCTCCCAAATAAATAAATAAAATCTTAAAAAAAATAAAATTTGTATTTTATTAAAGATATTAAGCTGGAATACTCAACTGGTAAATGTATTTGAGCTTCCTCAAATAATAAAGATGCTCATTAACACCTTTCAACCTAAAGTTGTTTTAGCTTTTCCTAACCTTTTAACTTAACTAAAGGACGGAGAAGATTGGCTTTGCAATTCACAGCTGGAGCGGTTATGTCACACCGCCCCTCTCTTGTGAAGTTCCCGCAGTGTTCAGCCGTCTTGAACAAGGCACAAACGTCTATAGGAATTATCAGACAAGATGCGTGTATACCAGTGGCCGGAGACCCAAGCCTCTCCCTGGGCCCAGCCCACACAGACCCCGGAGACACGGGCCTACGCTGTGTACGCCGGGAGTTGTAGTTTCCTTCCCTTCTCTCACGTCCTTTCGAGTGTAGCCGCCGGAGCGCTAGCGCCCCAAGCGGCGCGCAGGCTCTGTGAAGCGCAGCGCACGAGGACGGCGAGGAGCGTTTCCTAGCAACGGAGGAGCGGCAACGTCACGGCGGCTGGTTCTAAGCGCAGCTGCCTACTGTAGAGTCGGTGTGTGTACCTTCCGGCACCTGCGGGCTGGAGGGAACGGTTCTCACAGCCGTGTCCGAACGTTCTTCGTCTGTCCTTACCCGCTTTATCCTGCCCCAGGTCGCGGAGAACAGCCTCCCGCCGCGACCCGCCTTTGAGGCCCGGGCCTTCTGGGCTAGAGGAGGTCCGGTCGGTTCCCGCTGGTCCTCGCCCCCCGCGCCCGTGGAGCCAGCCAGCCGCCCGCGGCCTCGGCGGGACGATGCTGGAGTCCATTCGCGTGACGGGTGAGTGCCGGGGAAGGCTGGCCCCTGGGTTGGCAGGGGCGGCCAGCGTCCTGCCGGCCGCTGGCGGCGGGTGTGGGGCGACTCGGGGCCCCAACCGCCCAGAGGCCGAGGTAACGGTAGGATGTGGGTTCCGCGCGGGGCGCGGACGCTCAACCTGGCGCCGGGAACAGTGCGCGGCGCGCTGGCGGTGCTCAGAGAAAATGCGCGGAGGGAAGACAGAAAAAACGGTCCCTTTTCCTTTTGTCGCTTATTATCAGTAAGCACGTGCCATGGAACCTATGGAAGTAAATTATGATATACACATTACTGGCCCTACAAATGTGCTGTCTAAACATTTCATTTCAAAGCGTATTAGGTGCTATACGGTACTGGCGTCTAATTTTCTAGAATGTTCAGAAAAATCAGAGCTAAGCAAAAGAACACATTCCTGTATATGAGTGTTTACACAGTGTTTATTTCTCTCTATGCTTTAATTCTTAAGTCAGTGAGAACGTTTTCAGTTTGTATTATTAGTAGGTCACTCTATAGTATGTATTATACCAACCTGAAGAAATGGGTGTTCAGACCCCAGGTCAGAAAGTTTACTTGCCTTTTATTTAAAAAAAAGTATGGATGTTAACCATTTAAATATTATATTACATATTAGAAGGCTTTTCTTGGCCATTATCCCGGCATTCAATTCTGTATAACATTTCTGCAAGACAGGGTCCATGGTAGTCCAGTATCATGATGAAGAACAACAGAGTAAAGGGAAATGCCTAATCCTGAAGCTAGTGTCAAAATAAGACTGGAATTTTTTAGTATCAGGCATTGCAGTACCAAACAGACCATTTTTTTTCCTATCGGTTTTTAAATTCTAAACTGAATTCCTTTCCAGTGAAAATACTTGTGGTCTTAATTTTATGGTGTTTTACTTCATGTTCGGTTTTTTAAAATAGGGAGCTGATACTGTACTTATGATTTATGTTGACAGGAAGCACAAGATCTAAGCAACTTAAATTAGCATTAGTTTTTTAAAATGTAATTTGGTGTGGACACTATTTTTTCATCTTAAATTACAGTGAAAAATTTGAAAAAGTTACTCAAAAATACCATACCTTCTTTTTGTTTTGGAGCAGCTTTGCACTATTAACATTGAATTAATGGATAATTCTTTGCTGTGGAGGGCTGTCCTATGCATTGTAGAATGTTTAACAGTACTCCTGGCCTCTACTCACTAGATGCCATTAGCACCCCCCCACTTACACAGTTGTGACGACCAAAATGTCACCAGACATTGTCAAGTGTTCCCTAGAGGGCAAAATAACTCCCCTCCCCATCTAAAAACCACTGCCTTGGAGAAAAATATAGTTTGATTCCGTCAAAGTGAAGGTTTTTAGACAACGATTTAGAATAATATCAATTAAAATAATTTCCCCAAAACAAAACAATCATTGTAGAGAGAGAATACGATTATGATAATAGTATTAGAAAGTGGGTATTCTGACCAACCAGTCAGCAACAGAAAGTGGATCGCCTTTTCAGTAGGTGGAGGTGGAAGTTAAAGAGAGATGCTTTATGAAACAGTAGACTCTCTCCTCTTGTCTCAACTCCATTTCTGTAATTCAGCAGCAAAAATCACTCCAACTCTGCATGTTGCATACCCTGAGATAGATAATTTTGCAGTGAGTTTCTATAGTTCAGTAAGAATTAAAACAGCTATTTGAGGCAGCTAGAGCATCAAATTTACAGCCCTTTTAAAAATAATTTATCAGGTGATTTTTCAAAATAGTTTATTTCTTTTATATAGTACTTGACTAGTTAAAATGGTAGTTTCAGAACCCTATGACAAGCAGTTTCACTAACATACTAGAAAACCCATTTGGACAGCTAGAAACTTATGAAGAGAGTATAGCTGAAAACATGCCCCCCTTTTCCCTTGCTATCTTCTCACTACTCATTGATACCTAAGAAGCCCATGTTCTTCTGGTGGTTTCTAATGTCAGGAGTGAAGCAATTAAATATTTCTGAAATCTCTTTCTGTATAATATCTTTCTTTTGACTTATTAGTCATAATTTAATATAATCTAAATATAATGTCCTGGTAGAACTGACTGGGGAAGTAAAATAAGATGTCTATGCTATGTATACTGTTTGAAATGGAATCAAATCAGAAAAGTTTTTTTTTTTTAAAGACTTTATTTATTTATTTGAGAGAGAGAATGAGAGAGGGCACATGAGAGGGGGGAGGGTCAGAGGGAGAAGCAGACCCCCTGCCGAGCAGGGAGCCCGATGCGGGACTCGATCCCGGGACTCCAGGATCATGACCTGAGCCGAAGGCAGTCGCTTAACCAACTGAGCCATCCAGGCGCCCCAGAAAAGTTTTTGCCTTCTCATACCTTTTGAAACATAGTTTATTATACTAAAGCCACTAAAATGTTGATTCTAGAATGTAGATGCAATTACTGTTAAATTTACCTTGGAAGTCCAAATGTAATGATTCTAAATACTTTCCCATTTATATTATCCCATGGAGTATTTCTGTAGGAGCTGAATATAATATTGAATTTAACAATACTGGTAGTTAACACAGGCTGCTTACTACAGGCTGGCACTGTTCTTAGCACTTCATATACATTAACATTTTCAATCTTCACACCAATACTATGAAATATGTAGTAGTATTACCCCATTTACAGATAAGGAAACTGCAGCACAAAGAAGTTAACTTGGTCACGGTCACAGCTACTAATAAATAGCCAAGATTCAGATTGGGGAAGTTCCATTCCAAAGCCCATGTTTTCAACCACTAGGAAAGGCAGAACACTATTAACAATGACTATATGTTGATTTAAGCCACAAAGTTCAACATGAAGATCTCATTTAATTAACATCAGTGGTATATTATCTGATAGTTTACTCAGGTTGTTCTTTTTTAAGTTTTTATCACAAGCAAGCTGTCAATAAGTTTTGCCTGGAAAAATCGTACTTTACTTGATTATAAAATTTTCAAGATAGAAGACCTCTAGCTCATTCAATGAGTAACAAAAAGCTTCAGAAGCCGTATTGATTATGTTAATTTTTGATTTCCTACTGCCCATATTTTGTATGGGCTATAAGTGATTAATGAAAAGAAATGATTAACGAGTCATCTGGAAACGAAGCTCCTTTGTAACAAAAGTGAATGTTTAAAAATAACTGGAGACAAAAGTCATTTTAAGGCCACTGTTTGGCCATATGGGATGAATACACTTAGGCCCATAGCTCCTGTTTGTGTTATAGCAGTAGGTACCTGCCATTAAAACTTGTCTTCGGGCGCCTGGGTGGCTCAGTTGGTTAAAGCAACTGCCTTCGGCTCAGGTCATGATCCTGGAGTCACTGGATCGAGTCCTGCATCGGGCTCCCTGCTCAGCGAGGAGCCTGCTTCTCCCTCTGACCCTCCCCCCTCTCATGTACTCTCTCTCATTCTCGCTCTCTCAAATAAATAAATAAATCTTTAAAAAAAAAAAAAACTTGTCTTCAACATCACTGTTTCATTTTTTTTATGCCATTTTGGTATGACTCTTTTTTTCAACCTTCAGGCATTCAAATCCTGTATCCTTTCCTTCCTCTCAAATATTATCTTCCCTTGGCTACATCTCTGGCCATCCTTTCATAAGCAAGGCAGTGAGCCAGCAAAAACAAACAGGTGTATGCCATGAAGAGACAATTTCAGTATTGGAGTAGGCCATCATACAAACCAATGTAAAACTGCAACTGTGACAGGTGCTTCATAGAACCTTCTGGGGAAGTTGTCCTGGACAAGTGATACTTGAACTGAAGGGTGAGTGAGAATCTAACACAGGGGAGGAAGGGCTCTCCAAATATAGGGGACAGTGTATGAGGAGGTGTTGTGTCTGGAGAGAGAATGGTGAGTGTGAGGGGTTAACAGAATGAAAGGAAGGTACTAGAGTGGACTGACTAATGGGAACATGGTGCACGGAGGCCAGAGAGGCAGAGTGACCTGACCATGAATGACTTCACATGCCATGGTTAGGAGTTTTGTCTTCATCCTAAGTGGAAAGCCATGGGGAAGGTTGTTTTCTGGCATGTTCATTGTTATTTGAGATGGTGTTTAGAGTGGCATTATAGAATACCCTGCATATTTCTAACTGTAAAATAATAACACAACAGTTTCTGACCAAAAAATGACAGTGTCACCTTATAATCATTGTTACTTGTTGAGTAACACTGAAGTGCTCCTAACTGGGAGTGTGACATTTTTGGGAATCCTGAAGTAAAGTTGACTTTCTCAGTTCCTGAGTGACATGAGCAGTGCCTTTTCATCTCTCTCTCTTTTTTTTAACTTACGATTGGGAAACTATATTGGGTTCTGTTGAATTTAGAGATACTAAAATTAGTAGGTTATCTGTTATAATGCAGACAAATTGGGCAATAAATATGTTTTCAAAGATACTGATTTTTTTCATATACCATTTAAAAGGTTAAGGTATAACTCATATTCAGTATAGTTCACAAGTCTTAAATGTATAGCCCAATGAATTTGTGCATATGTAACCACTGCCTAGATGAAGATATAGAACATTTCTAGCACCCAGTACCCTGATGCCTCTTCCTAGGTTATAACCCATCCCTCAGTGGTAACCACTATTCTGATTTCTAATACCATAAATTAGTTTTGCCTGTTTTTGAACTACGTAAAAATGAAATTGTACAGCATGTACTCTTTTGATGTTATATCATTTGAGTTTTAAGTGATGAAGAAGTACTTGATAAAATGTTAATTTTGTTTCGGGCTATATTGTTTTGTTTTGCCTTCTGTTTGTAATCAAGTAACCTATCGTCTTGTTACATAAATTATGCCAGGTTCTCAGGTTTCATCAATATAGTGAACTGTATGAAATTGCCATTTTGTGGGTCAGAATTGGTTGAATGGTATTTTCCAGCAGGCTTTGTTTCTGGTGATCTAATCTTCCTTTCAGCCATAATTACTGTGAAACCTCACCTCTTTACAGTTGTGAAAAACGAAGTTTAGTGAGTTCCTCTCTTTCCCATTCCTTTAGATGAGGAACATGAGGCACTGATGGGTTTAATGATTAGGCTAATATTACAGAGAGGTCATTGAAAGAACTGGGAATAGAAGCCAAGAATCCTGGTATCCTTTTCTCCTGTTCTAGATACAAATTAAGCTTTCATTGTGTTGGTAATTTCAGTATATTCACCTACTTGTGAATATACTGAGTATCAGTTTTTTTTTTTTAAAGATTTTATTTATTTATTTGAGACAGAGAATGAGATACAGAGAGCATGAGAGGGAGGAGGGTCAGAGGGAGAAGCAGACTCCCCGCTGAGCAGGGAGCCCGATGCGGGACTCGATCCCGGGACTCCAGGATCATGACCTGAGCCCAAGGCAGTCGCTTAACCAACTGAGCCACCCAGGCGCCCCGAGTATCAATTTTAATGTACTATTATTTCCAGGTTTTTCCTTCAATAAGGTAATCAGGTTGCGGTGAGTGATTTCTTTGATCAACAAATTATTTTTGTTTAAGGTTATAGTGAAGTAGATTGCTGATGGCTAAAATGTCAAATTACGTAGTGACTTTTATACAGAGAGAGACACAGCGAGAGAGGGAACACAAGCAGGGGGAGTGGGAGAGGGAAAAGCAGGCCTCCCGTGGAGCAGGGAGCCCAATGTGGGGCTCATTCCCAGGACTCTAGGATCATGACCTGAGCCAAAGGCAGACACTTAACGACGAAGCCACCCAGGCGCCCATACATAGTGACTTTTAATATAAGAAAGTAGGATTGATTGCCTTATTATTTTTCTGAGAGAAAATGAGTACATTTCCCCCAAAGAAGCCTGCATATACTTTTAATAAGTTTTGATTTTTCAGGAAAAAGAATAGGATGTTCTTCAATGAAATCTTCTTATAGGCCTTTTATTATGTTTTTATGCATGTTTAAAGTCATTTTTTCCTTTTAAATTTTTTTATTGTTAATCACCATACATTACATTAAAAAGTCATTTTTTTCTTAAAGAAGACAATAGTTAAAATTACAAAAACAACCTTTAGATTCTCTAATAGTACATTTTAATGCAACTGAAATAAGATCAGTGTGACTCTGAGAAATTAATTTATTCAATCACCTGTCCCACTTTTATGAACTTCGTGGGAGATCAGCATTTGGCAGGATTGGTGTTTTATTAAATAAATACACCATTGGCACTCCCAAACCTTACTCATCAGCAGATGAGCTTAAAAAGGACTGATGCTAAACCTCTCAGGTAGATAATTAGCAAGTGAGCTGAAATTCTGTGACTCCTGGGGGGAAAGAGTTTTGCCCTACACACACTGTCACCTCTCTCCCATCCCCCACTCCCCATTGAGGGATTTGGCAGATGGTTTAGGACTTTCATTAAGTGTCCTGAAGTGTATAGGTTGTTTGAAATGAAAGAAAATTCTGAATTTAGAGGTCACTGATGCTTTATGACAAAACAAAAGAACTCTTGAGTTCAGCTCTGTGGTCATAGAGCCACTAAGTCTTAGGAACCAAAGAAAGCATTTTTACACTGAATATTCATTTTTTAAAAAATCAACAAAATATCATGTAATAAGCCATCAAAATTTAGGAATTCTTTAGAATAGTTTTATTCACTGATTTTAATTTGGTTTAACTTTCTCCATTTTTATCATGAAGCCCAAATGAGAAAAGAACCTGATTACCTCCCTTTACCTTCCTGGCTGTGCCTACTCCTCACCTGACTTTTCTAAGTTTGCGATACCCTTATTATCTCAGGTTTCTTGTTCTTTCCCTTTTAGTGTCCATTTCAGTCTTCCCTTCCTAGTCACCTCTTGTCTTGTAAAGTTGTGTCTTTTTAGGGAAACTGACATTGTTCATGGGCATTGAGCTATATAACCTGGGTTCTGGTGTTCCTTAGCCTATGTTTGCCCAGCCTGCCCAATTTGGACTATCATTTGGCAACACTTAAGTCTGAAACCCCTGAAGAACTGAGACCTGCCAGCCCGTAATGAAAGTTTTATTTGTTCTGTTTATTTTTGGCTATTTTTTTTCCCATTTATTGAATGGCTTCTTTGTGTAATCAACCTTCAACTTGACCCTGTGCAGTCTAGCTCCTACCTCTGAGCTTGTACATGTAATAGACATTTAGCCCTTGCAGACTTATGCTTTTATGTTATCTTTAAGACACCAGAATTCAAGTTTAACATGTTGGCCAGAAAATGTTAACTGGAAGGACTTTTAAGTACTTACATATTTGGATTATTATTCATTTTTGATCCGGTAAGACTTTACCAGGTCTTTACCCTAAACCCTATGACTTCTAAGCTTTAAAAACTTATGTTTAGGGCAGGGTTTCTTTATCATAGCACTATTTTGGGATGGATATTTTTGTCATAGAAGTCTGTTCTGTGCATTGACAGATATTTAGCATCATCCTTGGCCTCTACCCACAAGATGCCAGTAGTACCCCTCCCTCGTTGTGACAACCAGAATGTCTCCAGACACTGCCATATGTCCCCTGGGGGACACAACTGCCTCTGGTTGAGAACCACTGGCCCAGGGTTTTTCCTCTGTTATATTTTCACTTCTGCAGTTATCTCCTAGAACTGTAGAATGGTTCCAGAACTACAGATACCTGTTTATCTTGAATGGTTGGAGAGTGACATGTTTAGGGTCCTGCCATTCATTCATTCATTCATTCAGTGTACATTTATTGAATGTCTATCAGATCATGCTAGATGTTGGAAGAAATGAATAAAACACAGTTCTGGTACCTATCTTAGTACATCAGTTATTCAGATTACCATGTCTTATTAGGGTCTATGTTATGTACAGAGGAAGAAAAGGTGCAGTGCTGTGCATATAGCAGACTTAATATTGAATATGTGCTGATAATTGAATGAATGGCCATATATAACACAACAAGCATGGACTCTGTAAGCACATATACCTGCATTCAAATCCGTTTGCAGTTTATTACTTTATTGTCATATAACCTTGAGCAAATTATTTAACATTTCTGAGAGTAAGTGCTATAACATGTAGTTTTCTGTGAAATCCCAAACTCACATAAATTTGTCAACAAATGGTGTCTGTCATTATTATTATTATCATCATCATCATCATCATTACTAACCACTGGTTATTATAGAAGGGATTCCTGAATGTCTAATCTTAAATGAGTGAATGACAGATGTATGTGGATAAAGTTTTCAGAAAATTGAAATAAATTGTGTTTCTTGGCAAGGCAGGCATCTGTCCAAGTCGGCTAGCATTGAAAATGCTTCCATAATAGGAGTCAAAGGTTGGGGCTGGAGGCATTAGGGTCCATTGAGACTTGGAAAAGTGAACTGGTTGAGAGAATTAGATATCACTTGCAGAGAATCATATGTAATTTGGAGGAGAGGTTTATAAGCAGGCTTGGCCAGAGGTCAGATTTGTAGATAGGAGTTGGCCTGGAATCTAGTTTTGGTAAGTAGGATTTAAGACAAACTTACTTTGTTGGTTTAGAATTAAATATGAAAGTTCTTTAAGGTCTAGGCGCAGTCTCATCTGTTTTCATCACATTGCTTTCTTCCTGCTCTGATTTCTAGGTTATTGTCTGTATTTTCTGGTTTTCACATTTAAACTTACACTACCATGTATTATTATTCAAATCTTCAGATTTGCCTTCAGAACCAGATTAGAAGCTGGTTGAAGGCAGGAACAATGGATTTATAAAGATGTTTCTCATAGCCATGTATCTAGTTAGTAGTATTCCATATGTTTGTGGAATGAAAGAATGCAAGTCAACACAGATTTAAAGCAGTGCATGAACATCAGTATATCAAGTGATTTGTACCTCTTTAAAGCCCTTGTGAAATCTAAAGGCAAAGCTGACCTCTCCTTCATTTACCATATGATATTCTAATGTCTATGTAATAGTAATTACAATTTTTTTCAGACTTGGCAAGAAAAAAATCTTAATTTTCTTTCATATTAACCTGTAGCCTAGAATTAAGAAAATCAACCAATTGAATGACATTACTAAAACATGCTTTAACATACACATATCATCTATTTAATTTTAAAAAATGATTTTTGAGATAAATAAGGCAGTGTCCTCCTTTTGCTGATGGCTATCTTTATTTATAGCATCCAATTTCAAGATTGTGTTGGCTTTGAAAATGCCTTGGATTTTACTTTGATATTGGTGATACTATTGAAAATTATATCTTTTCTGTGAAATCATATTCTTTGGTAGAGTTGACTATTCAGATTATTTATGTGTATTACCTCACACTGATATTAAACTTTGATCATCTAAATAGTTTGAAGCTGATAATTTTTATAATTTAGCATATATATGCTTGTATAGAAGTGACACTGTCTAGCCTGACCAAAGTTTAGTAACATATTTTTTAATATTTAAAATGTCTTTTCTAAAGATTGTTGCAAAATTATAAAGTTTACAGAACCTTCAGAATACTTTTTGTATAATAAGCAATTTGCTTCATCTGGTATCTTTGTTATTTCTTTTGTTTTGATTTTGTTTATTAACACAGAAAAGCTTCACTGGCCTGAGCAAGAACTTGCGAAGAAGTCTGTTCTAAATGCAGAAGAGTCATTGATCATTGACAGCAAAAGAAGCATTTCACATTTATCTTCTGGGATACTAAAGGACATTTTCACAACTGGAACCAGTAGTTACAATGTCCTACTACAGAGCAAAGAGGAGAAAAAGCATTATTCACAAAAACAGTCTTCTTCCACCTACTCCAAAAGATGTAGAAAACCCAGCAAATCTCCTAGCTCTTCTCGTAGTAAAGATCTTCGCAAGATGAAAGTCCCAGTGCCTGTGATGAGCAGTGGTACTTGGTACTGCCTAAAAAGGCAGCCTGGTGTTTTTGTCACTAGTTCAGTGTCGAGTCCCATAAAGTTTACACATGATATCTCTGTTACAGGGAACAGCATAGTACTGCCACCTAAACCCAAAAACAAGGTAAAGCGACGCCATTTCTCTGCTCTGCCAAAGCCAAAGCTGCAGCCTCAGTTGTCTAGAAGTTTTGAAAAAGGAGATGACTTTTCTGGGAAGAAATTTTGTATACTGACTGCTATAAAGCCCACCAACCTGGAGAAAGAGAAACTGAGATTCTTCAAATCTGACTATACCTACAATCCTCAGTTTGAATATGCAAACCCATCTCTGCCAAGTGTGTTAGCCAAACACAGCAATGCATCTGACCGATTTCTTAAACAGGTAAAACACTACTTCAGTAGTGGCATTTCATTTTTATGTAACTAAAGCAATTACTTGCAATCTTATAAAAAGAAAAAGACTTTAAAAAATATTTCGGTTATTTATATGTTAACTCCCGTCCAGGACACGTAAATATGTGACAAGAAATCTCCAGGTGAGTGCCATAGTCTGTATGTAAAGTATTTTGCACTAGTCAGAATCTATGAAGAATCTGTTAGACTTTGTGATAAGAAGCATCTATATTTGGAAAAAGCTTCAGATTCTGGTTCCAGACTTTCATTTGGGAGTTACATACTTGTAGCCCATTAGCCAACCCACAGATGAGTGTTGCGTAGCTCACACTGTGTTTGTGTTTTCTATTTGAGTATGCCCCAGGTGGATCATACATTGGTTCCCCTGTTGTATTACATTTCCACCTTACTTAGCCTCCATAGGCATTTTGGGGAGCTAGGTTTAATACTTGCCCATGAACTTTTTAATGCTTTACTGAAATTATTTATCATCATCAAATAAATATTTCAGCACTCATTTAAAGAAGAAGATAATGGAGTTTTAAAAATTATTTCCAAGGTTAGCAAATCATGATGTAAATGCTATGAACAACACTTTCCAAATTGCTCAATGTAGACACTTAGCACATAGTTTTGTGTATTACAAGGCTTAATAAACTTTGAAATCCATTTAAATTAGTGAGGGGAAATTGGCTGAAGGGTGTAGTGTTGAGATCATATAGGTAGACTACATTTTGTTCAGTTAACTTTCTACACATTTTTATAATACATGAAGTTCAACTTGGCTTTGTAAGTGATCGAAAATCTGTTTGTAGGCTAGGTAAAACTGCATGGTTCCATTTGCCTGTGGTGTGTGCCCTATTTTAGCATTTTTCCACAATACAGTTCCTTGGAATTGTGGCCAGCAGATTTTTTGTTGTTATAAATGACATAAAATCTGACCAGTCTTTTGAAGCCATTATGTAAAGCTTATTTTAGGATTACAATAATTTTGGTCTTCCTATTTATTTTCCTTTGTTAGAAGAAACCTTTTCATCTGCTTCTCTGGATTTTTAATGGGTATTCACTTTTTATTTAAATGTGGTGAGATTGTGCTAAACAGTAATAAAAAGGTCAGCTATTGTTTTCATTCCTATTTTGGCAGTCATTTTCTGATTTTTTTTTTTTTTGAAATTGCAATTGATTGAATAGGGCTTTCACTCATTTAAAATTTATGATAATTATAAAAATGCTATTTGCTTTTCCACCCATTAGTGCTAAAAGAGATGGCTGAGATTTACTTACCAATATTCTTTAATTTGGTATCCTGTCCTTACCCCTGCCAGTTGGGAAGGACATTTCCCACCATTGGATCAAAGTAAATGTTCTCTCATTTCCCTGGAAGACAATTAGGAAGCATCAGCAGCTCCACAGACTGAGAATTGACACTGCTTGCCCTGTGACTTTACAATCTATTTTAACTCAATTCCAGTTTGAGGAGATAAATGTATAGTTAGATTGCTTGAGTATATAATGTAGCACCAGCAGTCCTAGCTGGCTGTGCTTCAAATGCCACCATTTGGGAGAATGCTCCCAACAATGCCTAGTATACTATTTAAACCACTTTAATCAAACAAAAGGGATTCATTAGAACAGGTCCTCTATAAAATATGCTTAAATTCCTATTCAGCATCTGAGTGAATTATGACATGATGTCATAACATCCTTCCCCTCCCCAGCTGTGAAGCAAAAGCACAGCTTCAGAGCTAGCATGATTCAGAAACATGCTGCACAAAGAGGCCAGGATAGCTAAGTTGCCCATTGGTCTCTGGCCTCCACCCTGAAGGCCTTGTCATTCTCTAGGAGATCATCTTCCTAGTGTCAAGATCTGAATCCTTCTGTGGCAGGCAATCTACACTGTTAGTGTAGATCCAGGCGACCTCATGCTATCTAGAAGTTCTGATTGGTAGAGTGGTATTTAATAACATTGGGAAAATAAGTTAACTTTTGTTTGGCTAGGTAAGATAAAAGTTGAATTATTTTCTTATGTATTAATAAAACTGGAGCAGTGGAGATAATTAGCAGTTGGTAAATGGGGAGCTTTTGTGTGAGAGAAGGAAGGCTTTGGGGTGTTGGGTAAAGACCTTGGGACAAGGCTACCCTCTGGCTGATAGGGAAGAAAAGTTAAAGGTGGGTGTGCAAAAGGAGCTGACAGAGCAGGCCCAAGACTGCTGACTTTAGGAAGTCTGCTTTTGCAAGATTAACCTTGGCCTGGTGTCTGGGAACTTAACTGGTAAACAGTTTCCTACACTGAAATAAAACTTTCCCTAAATGATAAGAGTAGCTTGCTGTGCCTAAACTGTGCAAACAGTGTTTATTTATATTAACACCTCTTTTCCTTTTGGGAGTCTGGAATTTTGGAACATGCTAGGCGTAGGGGTACTTATGTACCAGCCCCCAGTAAAAACCTTGGGTACTGATCTGTAACAAATTTCCTTGGTAGACCACTCTTTACACATTCTTAGAACTCAGTTGCTGGAGAAATTAATTGCATCCTTTTTGACTTCATTCAGAGAGGACTCTTGGAAGCTTGCTTCTGGTTTCCTTCAGACTTTACTGGATGTAAGAAATGTGGGGGGGTGGGCTTAAGTTGATCTCTTAAAGGCATTTATTTACATTGAGATTTTAGAAAAGAAGAATAAAAAATTCAGTACTCAAAATATCTGTTTGGGCTGTTGTATTCGCTGTCAGTTTGAGATTCCTGATCAGTTCTAAGGTCTGGTTTCTATAGCCATTGTGTTACACAGTTCCAGGGGGGACTGTTAACAAATTGAACCTGGGCCCTACATTTATACAATAGGGTTAATATTTACCATAAGCATGGGGTTCTTTGGCATCATAATACTTCTCTAATACTTTTTAGTTGTATGATATTTGTACAGAACGCCAGGGAAATTAAGTGTATGCTAAGTTAGAAATGTTGCATTGAGGGTAGATGGGGAAGAGTGAACAAAAAAAGCATATCTGTTCTCCATATACTTGTATTATTATGAAATTGCTGACACTGCCTTTTTTTTTTTTTTTTTTTTTAAGGATCCTTACTCCTCTGTTATTCCATTAAAATTGCTTTGAAATTTAAGGACAAAGTCACGTGAACCATCAGTGTGTGACAGATTACAACTAGCATTGATAGGGTACTTAATACTTGCTTGTCACTCTGTTTGCTTAGTACTTTCATCTTTAGTTCCTCACATGAGATGCAATAGTTAGAGCAGTTGAAAAAATTGATCTGTAGAAGTGAAGTAACTTTTCCTGAGGTTACATATAGTAAATTGCAGAACCAGGAGTCTCTTCTAAGTACTACTGTTTTCCACACAATGGCATGTTGGCAAACTAGCTCTCAGTGTCCATGATACAAATATGAATGCTTCCACCATGGCCTGTTTCAAGCAATGTATTATCAACTGGCTTGCAAATTAATAAAAATTCAGTCAGTTCTCACAAGCCAATATGATATGGCCCCAGCATACCACTGTTTCACACAGCGTGGTTTTCACCTGGCTTTTCCAAACCCTGATGCCACCTTCTGCACCCAAAGGGCACCAGATGAAAAGAGCCTCTCATTTTGCTGGCAAGGATCCATGCTTCTGGCATGAGCTTATTATAGGGACATTGAAGATATTTGTTTTTGCTCTTTATGATATACCTATGAAATAGCGATGATTACTGTTTTTTAGAAGCTGTAAAACAAAAATATCTCCCTGTAAGGGCATCTTTCAGTTATGGCTTCAGTCTCAACTCAGTACACTGGTAATTAGTGCCTTAGGAAGACTGTCAAGGTCAAAACTGGGCTCCTAGTCTGTAAAATACGTAAATATTTAAAAGCAGCAAATAAAAAGTCTCCTCAGAAAGACTATTCCACATTATTTCTCTCTTCTTGCCCCTGTGACTCTGCTAGGAAACAAAGCAGAAACATCCCTTCCATTAAAGCTTCCACGGTATATATCTTTTCTCTTTTACTACTATCCTAACTATGGCATTTCATTTCTTCCCTGTTTCATGTGAAGTACACACAATCCAGAATTGATAAGTGTTTAAGTAATTAAAATGAAACAAAATAATTGAAAATAGTTTTCAGGAATTTCTTCTACAATGAAATAGTGTATCCAGTGTTTCCCATTTCTAAGATTTTATATTTTTCAAAATAACTCTTTGTAGAGATAGTTTTTTAAAAAAAGATTTATTAGAGAAGGAGGCAGAGACAGAGCATGGGGGTGGGGAGGGACAGAGGGAGAGGGAGAGAGAATCCAAGTAAACTCCATGCTGAGCACAGCTCCCAATTCAGGGCTCGATCTCATGAGCCTGAATCATGACCTGAGCCAACCAAGAGTTGGATGCTCAACCACTGGTGCCACCCAGGTGCCCCAATAGTTAGTTTTTTATTACCCATGTTAACGGAAGGAAACATTTATATGAATTAGCTAAAATAGGAAGATACTCCCTTCTCTCTCTTTGTTGAATAGTTCTCATCAAAGCAGTTAGTTTTTTATTACCCATGTTAACGGAAGGAAACATTTATATGAATTAGCTAAAATAGGAAGATACTCCCTTCTCTCTCTTTGTTGAATAGTTCTCATCAAAGCAGCCACCTTTGCTTTCCTGCTGGGACAGTGCTACACCAGCCATGAGTAATTCATTAGGGTCAGTAGTAGGTAATAAATGCAGTAATAGAAAAGGCCACAAACAGTGGCATGAAATGGAGACTGTAGAAGGAAATGATGCTTAAAATCAAATATCTAAGTAAAAAGCACTGAATTGATTTATAAAGAAAGCTTTTGAATTTTGATTTAGTTCTAGACATCTTGCATCTTAACCTCTGGGGGAAAATATATGGTTAGGAAAGATGCAAGATTAAGTATTGAGGAATGTTAGTATGGATGAAGAACAGATGTTAAAGGCTTATAGTTACTAGAAGAAATGTGCAGATATGTTTGCAAAATATTATGTCAAAAACATACAATAAAACATTTTCTTTTTTTTTTGAAGATTTTATTTATTTATTTGAGAGAGAGAGAATGAGAGAGAGCACATGAGAGGGGCGAGGGTCAGAGGGAGAAGCAGACTCCCTGCCGAGCAGGGAGCCCAATGCGGGACTCGATCCAGGGACTCCAGGATCATGACCTGAGCCAAAGGCAGTCGCTTAACCAACTGAGCCACCCAGGTGCCCTACAATAAAACATTTTCATCATGTTTCCATTGTAGCATACCAGAGTACTCCATAAATGTGCATTTGTTAATCTTTATAATATCTTAAAACCCAACCCTCTCAACCAGTAACAAAATGGATTTTAGCTGTTTATAAGAATTACATGTTAAATATGAGGTTTGTCAGACATTTAAATGTAACTAAGAAATTGGAGAATTGCCTTCTTTTAAAAATAGTATTTGATTTGGGACTGATTTGTAGGACTCTTGCTCTGTAAGAGAGATGGGCTCAATCTCTGAAGTTTTCTTTGTACTTTATGATGCATAATGAGTATATTTTAATTTTTGTCCCCAGGCTACATACTTACGTAAATATTGCACAGTTTCTGCGTTTTTCCCATATATATATTGAGGGAAATAAACTAAATGATTATTGAGAACTCTTTCTAGGACCACACAGATCTCTCTCAGTTGAGACCTAAAAATACTAGCTAATTAAATCAAGATTCTGTTTCATGTCACATTGTATATCTGGTTATGTCATTTATTTTGTAAAAACATTTAGCTCTTCTTCCATATTAACATATTAATCACAGGAAGGCTCAGTTTCTACCAGGTTTGTTAACTGAAAATTCTTTTATTTCAGATAACAGTGCTTTAATACAACATAATCGGCAAATGATTTGGTTTGTTAAAACTAGTTTTCTAGGGGCGCCTGGGTGGCTCAGCGGTTGTATCCAACTCTTGATTTCAGCTCAGGTCTTGATCTCAGAGTTGTGATTCAGGTCCCATGTTGGGCTTCACACTGGGCATGGAGCCTGCTTAAAATAAACAAAACCACAAAAAACTAATTTTCTAAATAAGTGAAATTTGTTTCTCCCAAGTACAAAAAACTTAAAAATTAACCATTTCAATGCAATTCTTTCTACAGTGCATATTCAATTTGACAACTCAGGAGAATGCTTTTCAAACTTTTCTAAGAAGGTAACCTAACAGCAGAGATGTCAAGAGAATAATCCAGGAAATCAAGAGCAAATCTATGTTTTATCTTAAATTCATGTGAATTTTACATTATACTTTATAATGTATCTTTATGCTAACATAGAAACATGTAAATTGTTTATCTTCAAGTAAATGTTGACTGCTAATTCAATTAAAGGCTGTCTAGACCAAAGAAAACCTATTTGTGGGCCACATTTATCCCTTGGGTTGCTGGTTCATCACCTCTGCTTTACCAGATCTGTTAAATATAAGCTCTATTGTATTGGGACCTATGGTTAGCTTAACATAAAGACTTTTAGGTGTGGTCCTCAGAAAACAAGGTCTTATATAAATGGAATAGATAATTTATTGTTCTATTAAAACTCAGGCATTGACATAAATACATAATATTACATCATGTTCTAAAGTAAGACAAGTATTTATTTTCCTTTTTTGATAGAAGCAACTTAAATGGAAATCAGACCCCTTCACTGATAGGAGGATGTCTTGATATAATATTGATATATTGATATAATATTTCTTTAAGGCTAAGTTTTAGTTATACTAACACTGAAGGTGCTTTATCTTGGTAGACCCCAAGTAGTTCAGACTTATTAAGAGGAGGAAGGAAAAAGCAAGTCTCCTTTAAATTAGAGCTCTCCTTCATGACACAGTTTTCTGTTTAGCAAATCACAGACCTTTCACAGATAACCTAAAGTTACGAGATTTTTTTTAAAGATTGAGTTTAGTGTGGTCCATATTAGACTGAGAAGTGGGATCATTTTTTTTTTTTTAAGATTTTTATTTATTTATTCATGAGAGGCAGAGGGAGAAGCAGGCTCCCCACGGAGCAGGCAGCCTCATGTGGGACTCGATCCCAGGACCCTGGGATCATGACCTGAGCCACTCAGGTGCCCAAAGTGGGATCATTTCTTAACCTGATAGCAAGGAAGATTTTCTTTTATTCAGAGATGGAATACCCCATCAGATTGCATGTCTTTTTTTTTTTTTTTAAGATTTTGTTTATTTGACAGAGAGAGGCACAGCGAGAGAGGGAACACAAGCAGGGGGAGTGGGAGAGGGAGAAGCAGGCTTCCCGCTGAGCAGGGAGCCCAATTTGGGGCTCGATCCCAGGACCCTGGGATCATGACCTGATCCAAAGGCAGACGCTTAACGACTGAGCCACTCAGGTGTCCCCAGATTGCATGTCTTTGGAAGAAGTTGTGACCTTGATGACTCATTGAAAGAGCATTTTGTTGATTTGCCTTTGAAAATTTGCCTAACATGCATTCTTAGGTTCTTAACAGGGTCTTTGCTTCGGAATAGCTTGAATATCTGCTTTTTCCTGGTAGGTGGTAAAAGAAGAGTCTTTGTTACTAAGCTATTTATAAATATCTTATCCTGGTAGCAGTTACCTTCTGATATTCGCACTCACCATTGTATCCATCCAGACTACCCCCAACCCTGCTGACACAAGGATGCAGTAGGGGTGAAGGGGGTGGAGAGAAGAAGGCTGCAGGTGGCATCTTTCTTTGTCCTACTGTGTTCATTCACTTATTCCTTCATTGACGTTAGATTCAGTGTCTCAGATCTATTTCCTGGGTTCTGCATACGTAGAATATAATTTTTGGAAATACTTTTATTATAATCTGATCATAGTCTGCAGTCTATTTTATAGAAAACTGAATTATGTATTGGTGAAAGTATTTGCTTCCGTCTCTCCTGCTCTCCATACTGCATCAGTGTCTATTTCTACAATACAAATCTGATGTCATTTGCCTTCCTGAAAAACATCAGGGCTCCTGATAATTCGGGATTAACTCTAGAATCTGTAGCATGGCCTATTGGTCTTTCATCTTTCATGATCTGGCTTGTGCTTACATTTCCAAGTCAACTCTATCCTACCAGCTCTATTCATCTTGTGCAAATTATCTATCATAGCATTTATCACACGGTTATTCACAAATTTCCTTTTTTTTTTTTTTTTTTGTCCTCACCACTGCTGAGGACTGACTGCTTTGATGAAAAGTGTTTTTTATTTCAACTATTTCCAGAATCTAGCACTGTTCCTGGCACTAAATAAATGAGTCTCCTGATGCCTCTTCAACCTGGAAACTGTATTTCACTTTCTTTACTTTGGATATGCTTTTTTGACTCTATTCTTTTTGCCTGGATTGTCCTCTATTTCCTCTAGCGCCTACTTTTATTTACCTTTCCCTATAATCTCACAATATATATACCTTCAACAGAGTGTTACTAAATTATGTTGATTTATATGTCCTCTCTGCCAGTCTAATGGTTAGACAGGGACTTAGAGTCTAAAATGTAAAAATAAAATGTAAAAATGAACAAAAGTGTCAGTGATTAGGGTTGCTCGGCTGGCTCAGTCCATAGAGCATGCAGCTCTTTTTTAAAAAATTGTATTTATTTGAGAGAGAGCACAAGCCGCGGGGTGGGGTGGCGGAGGGAACAAAGGGAGGTGGGCAGGGGGAGAGGGAGAAACAGACTCCCTGCTGAGCAATGAGCCCCATTCAGGGCTCGATCTCAGGACCCTGGGATCATGACCTGAGCTGAAGGCAGATGCTTAACCAACTGAGCCACCCAGGCATCCCTAGAGCATGCAACTCTTGATCTCGGGATTGTCAGTTCAAGCCCCATGTTGGGTATAGAGATTACTTAAAATCTTAAAAAAAGAAAAAAAAAGTACCAGTGATTAGTGCAAAGAAGATGAATGAATGGTCTTTATTGATAGTATTCTGGAAATTTAGTAATGTACTTTTCAAACAGTAAATCCGTATTTGTGGCCCAAGGGTCAGGTTTAACCTGAATATATGTTTGTGGGGGGTCAGCATCCTGGTTTTTTTTTTTTTTTTTTTCCCAACAGTGGAATATAAAGATGCTCTTCTGTTGTTACTCCCAGATGTTCTACTCAGTGGCTTTATACAGTGGTTACTGCTTGCAGCTGAAGGTATCTAAGTGTATGACTACTGCTGTAGTCTCCCATCAGTTTGTGGCTACCCTACCTTAAATGGGGGCCTAATGATCTGATTGAGTAATCCAAATCTTACTTATTTTGCTGCCAAGGAGCAGTAGCTACCATTGAAAACTTCATTCAGCATTTGGGATTTTGCTTTTTACTTTAAGAATCTCAAAATGTGTGTGTGTGTGCATGTGAGTGTGTGTGCGCACACACATCCACACCTCATGCTTATCTCCGAATTGATTTGAGGGATACTGCATGAGAAAGAGGGTCATATAAGTTGGAAAACACAAAATATTATATTCATCCCTAAGATTCACCACACATAGCATCATAATAAAGGCTTGTTTAACTTTGTTTAATCCAATATTTTCCAAACACATTTGGCTATGAAATCCTTTTAAAAATGTTATCTTGTAAACACTTTTCCACAAGAAACAGTTTGGAAAAACACTGGCTTAAAGGAAAGGACTGTGCGATCTCCCAAGCGGGTTATTCAGTATTTGGATAGATGGTGAGGGAAGAATTCTAGATGTTGGAATTTACTAAAAATGAGAGTAATGAAGGGAGGGTTGGGTGGATGAAGGTCAAATTAGTTACCTTAACTTCTGAAATTAAAACCCAGCTGTCTTCTGCTAAAACTATATACAGTCATATGAGAAATAGATTACAAAACACATTCACAGTCTCGCCCCCCCCCTCCCTCTTTCTCGGTGTTGTCTCTATCTCTAATTTCGTTCTCAAAACATCTCTTTGAGGTAAGCAGGGCAAAGATTTTCATCTTCATTTTGCCAGTGAAGAAACTAAACCTAAGAAAGGTAAAATGACATACTCAAGATCACACACTTAGTAAATGGTAGAGCATTAATGTAAAACCAGATCTGATGACTTCTAGTGTTTCCACAGTATCACCCAACTCATGTCGTATTAGTGTCCCTATTGTACATAGTTTTTCATTGAGTGAAAACCACAGTTGGGAACGGAGATAGTTTTTTTAGCACAGGACTGGTGAAGTGGCTCATGGCTGATGGTCAGATTTCCAAACTGCTAAACAGTAAACAGAATTAGTAAATAAACCAAAAGCAGTCATTTACCAGAATGTTGAGATTTTTCAGAAAGTTTGTTAAATCATCTAAGATAATGCTGAAAGTTTTTTGTAGAGATATTTTCTGGATTAGTGGTTCAAATGTTACATTATGCTATTTGACTACTATTCTTTTTTTTTATAACAGCTTTATTAGGATATAACTCACATGACATATGCACTCTTCTAAAGTGTACAGTTCAGTGATTTTCAATGCATTTAGAGTTATCAGTCCATCACCACTATCAAATTTGAGGACATTTCATCACCTCCAAAAACAAACCTTATGCCCATTGGAAAATACTCACCATTTCCGATCTCCCAGCCCTAGGCAACTACTAGTTCACTTTTTCTGTATGGATTTACCTATTCTGGACATTTTGTATAAATAGAATCATATAATACAATTCTTTGTGACTAGCTTCTTTTACTTAGCATAATGTTTTCAGGATTGATCCATGTCATAGAATGTATTCAGTACCTTTTATTCCTGAATAATATTTCATGGTTATTATATATTTTATTCAGTCATCAGTTGATAGTCATTTGGGTTGTTTCCACTTTCTGGCTATTATAAATAATGTTGCTATGAACATTTGTTTACAAATTTTGTGTGGACATATGTTTTCAATTATTTTGGGTAGTAGTGGATCACAGTAATTGGTCACAGGGTGGTCAATTGGTAGATCATATAGTAGTGGGTCATATGGGAACTCTAAGCTTATTAGCCTTCTGAGGAAGACTGTTGTCCAAAATGACTGCATTTTACATTCCCATCAGCAGTGTATAAAGGTTCTAATTTCTCCACATCCTCATCAACTCTTGTTTTTGTTTCTGTTTTGATAGCCATTTTAGTGAATGTGAAGTGGTATATCATTGTGGTTTTGCTTCGCATTTCTCTGGGGACTAATGATGTTGAACATCTTTTCATGTGCTTCTCAGCCATTATTTGTATATATTCTTTGGAGAACTGTTTATTCAGATCTTTTGCTTATTTTTTAATTGGGTTATTTGTGTTTTTATTACTGAGTTGTAGGAGTTTTTTTTTTTAAGATTTTTTATTTAGAGAAACTGTGCGAGCAGGGGGAAGGGCAGAGGGAGAGAGAGAATCTGAAGCAGACTCTGTGCTGAGTGGGCAGCCCAGTGTGGAGTTCCGCCTCAGGACCCTGAGATTATGACCTGAGCTAAAATTAAGAGTCAGATGCTTAACCGACTAAGCCATTCAGGCGCCTGAGTTGTAGGAGTTCTTTATATATTCTAGCCAACACTGTGGTCTGCTGACTACAAGTTTTGTGGGGCCTCCATCCCAGTACCAGCCAGCACTCCCTATGGTGCAGATAAGAAATTTGCAGACATTTCCTCCCATTCTGTGGGTTGTCTTATTACTTTCTTGATAATTCCTTTGAAGCACGAAAGTTTTCAATTTTTTTATTTATTTTTATTTTTACATATATTTTTTAATTATGTTAGTCACCATACAGTACTTCATTAGTTTTTTTTTTTTTAAAGATTTTATTTATTTATTTGAGAGAGAGAGAATGAGAGACAGCATGAGAGGGAAGAGGGTCAGAGGGAGAAGCAGACCCCCCGCCGAGCAGGGAGCCCGATGCGGGACTCGATCCCGGGATTCCGGGATCATGACCTGAGCCGAAGGCAGTCGCTTAACCAACTGAGCCACCCAGGCGCCCCTCATTAGTTTTTGATGTAGTGTTCCATGATTCATTTTAATGAGCACTGGGTGTTATACACGAACAATGAATCATGGAACAAGTTTTCAATTTTGATGAAGTCCAACTTACCTATTTTGTTGTTGTTTGTACTTTTGGTGTCACGTCTAAGAAACCATTGCCTAATCCAAGGTCATGAAGATTTATGCCTGTGCTTTCTTCAAAGAGTCTTATAGCTTTAGCTCTCACATTTAGGTCTTTGATCCATTTTGAGTTAATTTGTGTATATGATATAACAAAGGGGTCCAACTTCTTTATCGTATATACAGCTATCCAGTTGCCTCAGCACCATTTGTTGAAAAGAATTTGATTACTCTGTGTGTGTGTGTGTGTGTGTGTAATATCTCTTACTTATTTTAATTCCAGTGTGGTTAACATACAGTGTTGTATTAGTTCCAGGTATACAGTATAGTGATTCAACAATTCCATATATTTCTTAGTGTTCATCAAGATAAATGTGCTCTTAATCCCCTTCACCTATTTTACCCATTCCCCCACCCACCTGCCCTCTAGTTACATGCTGTTTGTTCTCTATAGTTAAGAGTCTGTTTTTTGGTTTATCTTTTTTTTTTCTTTGTTCATCTGTTTTGTTTCTTAAATTCCACATATGAGTGAAATCATATGGTATTTGTCTTTCTTGACTGGCTTATTTCACTTCGCATTATACTTGGTAGATCCAGCCATGTTGTTGCAAATGGCAAGATTTCATTCTTTTTTATGGCTGTGTATTATTCCATTATACACATACATACATACACACACACACATATATGATGTACACGGCACATCTTTATCCAGTCATCTATCAATAGACACTTAGGCTGCTAATTTGGCTTTTGTAAAAAAATGCTGTAATAAACATAGGGGTGCATATATCCTTTCGAATTAGTGTTTTTGTATTCCTTGGGTAAATACCCAGCAGTGTGATTGCTGGATCATAGGGTTTCCCATTTTTAATTTTCTGAGGAACCTCCATACTGTCTTCCACAGTGGCTGCACCAGTTTGCATTCCTACCAGCAGTGCACAAGGGTTCCTTTTTCTCCACATCTTTACCAACAGTTGTTGTTTCTTGTGTTTTTGATTGTAGCCATTCTGACAGGTGTGAGGTTTTATCTCATTGTGGCGTTTTTTTTTTTTTTTTTTTTTCTCTTTTCTCACTGTGGTTTTGATTTGCCTTTCCCTGATGATGAGTGATGTTGAGTATCTTTTCATGTGTCTGTTGGCCATCTGTATGTTGTCTTTGGAGAAATGTCTATGCATGTCTTCTGTCCATTTTTTTAAAAGATTTTATTTATTTGAGAGAGAGAGTATGTGAGTGGGGGCAGGAGCAGAGGGAGAGGGACAAACAGACTCCACTCTGAACATGTAGCCTGACAAGGGGCCCACTCCCACAATCCTGAAACCATGATTTGAGCTGAAACCATGACTTGAGCTGACACCAAGGCGCTCAACTGACTGAGCCACCCAGGCGCTCCACTTCTCCCCATTTTAACTGGTGTTGAGTTGTATAAGTTCTTTATGTATTTTTGATACTAACCCTTTATTTGATATGTCATTTGCAAATAATCTCCCATTCAGTAGGTTGTCTTTTTGTTTTGTTTGTTGTTTTTTTGCTGTGCAGAAGCTTTTTACTTTGATGTAGTCACAGTAGTTTATTTTTGCTTTTATTTCCCTTGCCTCAGGAGACATATCTAAAAAAATGTTGCTATGGCTGATGTCAGAGACATTACTGCCTGTGTTTTCTTCTAAGATTTTTATTGTTTCAGGTCTCACATTTAGGTCCTGAATTTATTTTATTTTTGTGTGTGGTATAAGAAAGTGGTCTGGTTTCATTCTTTTGCATATAACTATCCAGTTTTCCAAACACCATTTGTTGAAGAGACTGTCTTTTTCCCATGGCATATTTTTTGCCCCCTTTGTCAAAGATTAATTGACTGCATAATTGTGGGTTTATTTCTGGGTTTTCTGTTCTGTTCATTGATCTGTGTGTCTGTTTTTGTGGAAGTACCATACCATTTTGATTACTACAGCTTTGTTATATAAGTTGAAGTCTGGAATTGTTTTGTTTTTTTCTTTTTCAGATTGCTTTGGCTATTTGGGGTCTTTTATGGTTCTGTAAATATTTTACTATTGTTTGTTCTAGTTTCGTGCAAAATGCTTTTGGTACTTTGATAGGGATTGCATTA